TTGTCAGATTTACTACTGCGAACACAGCCTGCTGGAAGTTGTAATCGCATGTTTCCAAACGCCTTCCTGGTTTGTAACATAATCATGAATAGACTATTTACTTTATGATAGAGCTGTAGTCGTTTAGTTCATTAATCGGTTGATTGAGTCTGTGAGACTAATCATTAGGGTTATACAGATTTATATGGGACAACAGCAGAAAGGGGACAGAAGTAAGTGAGTAAGATGAAGATTTGGTATTTTGGGGTATTTATATGTAAAAAGGCAGATTAAACTCATAATGCAAACATATATAAATACATTGTTTCCTAGTACTTTTTTTTTTTTTTTTTGCATAAATTGTTGTTTTTGCATGAACTCCTGTGCAGGTGTAGTCTTGGGTGAGTACAGTTTGGGTCAGATACATAGAGATAAGTAATAGGTTTGAGAACTTCTTTAGTTGGCTACACCACTACTGTATGAAAGAATTCAAGCAGAATAAAGCATTGTCCAGTTCAAATGAAATACATTTTATACAAAGCATGATTGTGAAGGAATCAAACTGACAAATAAATTGGTGATGCAGGTCCCCGTGTAAGCCCTAAAAGAGTTTGAATGTGGAGCTGTAGCCGGTAAAGGAGGACAAACCCCTGAAGTGCTCCAATAACTGTTGCCTGCCAGCTGGGCACAGTCCATTTGCGTTGGAAATACAGTGTCTGATTGCACCAAGCTCCCCAACAGCTCCTCAATGGGCACAGTGCTGAGATTCTCTTATTAGCCTGTGCTCGCTCAGCAAAAACATTTAAATGCTCCGTCAAGAAATCACAAAACGGATTTAAAGAGACACTGCAAATGGTTCAGTTAAAATATATGTAGTGTATCAGTGTTCCTATTTCCAAATGCTTTTTCCCATAAAGAATGCTATGCTGGTATTAAAGTCTGTGGTCCAAGGCCTATAGGCTTATAATAACAATTGTAAGGTCTAGCTCTGCAAATTATGATGTATGAAGATAAATGTTCTGGTGCCATAAAACCACCATTCAGCCTCTAGGAGACAAAATGCAATAACCAAAGAGATAGCACTGCAAAGCACAGTGTTAGCCACAGTTACACTTGTTTTAAAGGGATATATTACACTGTTTTCTGATCTAAGTTATAATGTTGTTTCCTCATCAAAAAAAAGACCTGGAGTTATGTTTTGTTTCATTTATGCATGTTTACAATCACAAATTCTGCTTATTTAGGCTTTTTTGGATCATTTCAGTCCTGGAATTGCCAATCTCTACTGAATTTAAGGTAAATGGTCAGATATAAATGTCATGCCATATTGTGGAAAATGAAGCATAAAGTATCACGTCAGCACATATAATCATCTGCCAATAGATTGACAAAGACTGATTTAGAATAGCTTAATATAACACCATTTGCCCACGTTATGAACTGGATTAAAAGGTTTGCATATTTGTCTACGCTTGTTGCTGCATAGAGCGTAATGATTTCTTGAATACAACCCACAGACCGAACACATCAAGAAGTCAACTAAGGGAGTATGACGTCATTCAACTCCAGTCATTTGAAGTCAAAATAGCAAAATAAAAACACCAGGAATCCAGGATCATGTAGAGCAGGTTAATACAAACATTTTAAGACTAAAATGATGAGGATGACTGCAGCAGTTACAGAGAGAGAGGTGACAATTTTTCAGTGTAAAGTCAATTGGAGCCAGAGGCAATGGAGCCAAAAGCGCCCCCATGAATATTTCCAGACAGAAGTAAGTGAGTAAGTGAGTAAGCTAAAGATTTGGTATTTTGGTATTTATATGTAAAAAGGCAGATTAAACTCATAACGCAAACATATAAATACATTGTTTCCTAGTACTTTTTTTTTTTTTTTTTTTTGCATAAATAGGAATCCAAGATCATGTAGAGGAGGTTAAAACGAACATTTTAAGACCAAAATGACAAGGATCACAGCAGCAGTTACAGAGAGAGGGGGGTGGGATGTGGGAGGTTTCAGTGTAAAGTCAACTAGAGCCAGAGGCAATGAACCCAAAAGCGCCCCCAGGAATATTTCCTATTTGGAACGCGGCGGCAAGCGGGTTAGCTATGTCCATTTATATATACAGTCTATGTATGATTCAACCATAATAACCACCACTGTTGATTGTACTGAAAATGACCAAACCCTGCAGTTGGGTGGGTGGTTGTGGGTTTCACAGAGGACAAAAGGGTCAAGGTCAGGCATCGTGTCGAACAACTTTACACCTCTTCTCCCTTTTTTCCACAGCTCATTTTCCGACAGGCTGCGGCGTTCCCTGCATTACTGCTCTGCTCCATTATTTATGACGGATCTGGAACGTGGGATTTGATCTAGTGCAATGGAGGCGCCTTCGGACCCCTCTTTCAGTGTGGCTTGGCAGATGTATAGAGGTATTCAGTTTAACTTTTCATCAAATGGCTGGTTCCGCAGAGGAGTGGTGCAGACTGTTTAAGAGATGGTGATAAACAATTGAAGAGGTCTGACTCAGAGGAGCTGGATGTATGGCAGCAGGGCACACTACAGTATATCTGCACACACTTCCATAAGACTGTGTAATTACCAGAGGCCAGCTGTTTGGGAACACACACAGTATATATCAAACAGGAGCTGGAGATTCAGAGCCAAAAGCCAAGACTCCGTCATGTTTGGAGTTTCAATTGAAAAACGGGTTGTTTACCCGAGCAACAGCAAACAATTGTGACACCTCATTTAACAGCTTCTTGTGCTAACGTGCCCTGATTATCATTTATCTGCTATTATGGAGATTCAAATAAGCAATTTACAAGCTATCTGCCAGTGATGAGAAATCACTTAATATCTTTTATTTGTTGTTATTGCCTCTATTTTTGTAAACTTTTTGAACATTTGTGACAGATTGCCCAGTGGTACTTTTTAAATGCTATATATTTACTTTACAGGTGAATTATGTTACTTTAGTGTTAGATGGTCCACCACCTGGTTTTGTTTGCTTGACATCTTGCGCTGTATGACATTTAACTTTTCTATTTGTTTTTTCAATGAATTATATTGCTAAATAATACCTTAAAATACAATTGTTACTGTGTACACTCTAGCCTATCCACAGATCTGACCTGTAACATGCACCACCTGCTTGTCCTCATGGAAACAGAGATGTTTAAAATCTTACTGTGCAACATTCCAGACAAAGCAATAATGTCAGCATGGAGACAACAGATGGCGGATCCTCCACCAACAAAATTACGCAATGCACCTTTAATAAACAAAATACAGTATATTTACCTTTGTAGTTTGTTTTGATACGTGTGTTTTAGTGTTGTTGTCATAGTAAAAGGTCAAAACTTTTCAAATGTAATCAAACACAATAATAGTATTTTCTTTGATTTTACAGTCTTATATTGTTCAGATAATAATCATGACATTCTAAAACTTTCAGGAACAATGTTGTCCTATTGAATATGATTGCTTTTAGTATTGATAATTATTCATGAGTATCCAGTTTTTATACTAATATTAGAACTGATTAATATCTGGTTACATTTTTACAACAACAAAATTGAATACATCTTCAATTTCACATTTCCTTGAAGCAATAAATAGTTGCTTTGAGAAATAAGACTAGGCAACCGCAGTAACAGCACAGCTCACATGTATCATTAGTATCTGTGCAGAGGTGTGCTTTAAAACTATAGCTCAGAGAGGCACGTCCCATACAACTCATTAATTTTGCACTTTTATCCTAAATAAATTATTTTCTTGTGTGTGAGCTTTATCAGTGCTGACGTGTTTCTCATTTTTCATAAGACTGATCTACACACACGCCCCCATCTGTCTGGTAAACAGACTTGGTTACATCATTTAACAGTTGCATAACTTTCAGTGTTTAACATGGATTTAAGAACTAAACTCCCATAATGCATTTCTAATCTTCAATGTGGGCGAGCATTATAAACATATTTTAATATGAAAAAACATAAGCAGGAAGAGGATGATCAGAGATTATATATGTAAATATCTAAAAAACAAAGTCAGTCAAGAAAAAGAAATGAAAAACTCTATCCTATCCCAAGTGAACTGTTCTTTAAATTACCTCTTTTAGCCCATTGCTGCTCACTGTATTCACCCCTGCAGCTATTCATAAAATATAGAGTCTTAGCAGTGAAAAGTAACTGGTGTAAATAATTAGGGCTCAATTAAAAAGTACAGAATGCAAAGGACCATACATTATTAAATGTTTACAACTCCAGTCGTGGCATACATACAGCCATCAGGGCAACAGCCAAAGGCAAAACAGCTCGACTGTCATCAAAAAGTTTTGTTTCAATTTCTTAGTTTTCTACAGTTAGTAGTTTTTCCCAAATAAAATAAAAATAAATAAATAGATAAATCTGTGGATAGGGAACCTCATTCACACCAAGAATTCATGTTTTAAAGGGCCCATATTACACTACTTTCTAATGTATGTTGTGATGTTGTTTCCTCATCAAAAACACACCTGGGGCTGTGTTTTGTTTCATTCACACATGTTTCACACACAAACATCTGTGAGTCCTTTTTATAACCCATTACACCTTCACTAGAATAATTTGGATGATGTCAACCTTGGAACTGACCATCTCTGCTAAATAAAAGGTAAAATGTTGCTGTTAACTTGAAAATTACACCTTCATGACATCACAAGGTGGAAAAAAGAAATTTGAACTTTGGTGAGGTAGACAAACTAATAATAAAGGATTACTCAAACATGTGTGAATGAAACAAAGCACAACTGCAGATATGTTTTTGAGGAGGTAACAATATTCTAACATGACTTAAAGCTCACAAGAGTCAAATAAATCACATCTCCATGGAGACAAGCAGATGGGTAACCCTTCAAAAGAAAAGTTATACAATGCACTTTTAAACTGTGACATAAAAACAAAAGCATTTCATCCAAATCATACAACTTAAACCATCCACAAAGCACATGACATCACCTTCACCAAACATGCTGAGTCACTCACCTTTGCCACCCTGTTGGCCACCTCTCTGCCCACCATCAGGCCCTGTACAAAGGTCCGAGCTGCGATGAAGGCCCTGGTCACCTGGGCCTTGAGTTTGCGCGGTATATCTCCGAACGGTTTGAGCTGGTCTGTGTATTTGCTCACACACTCCAGGTAGTCGTCCGTAAAGTGGTACTGCGAGTTGAGCAGCTGAAACATGCGCTCCAGAAGTTTGGACCAGAAGTCATTGAGCATCTCCTCCAGGTTGACATTGCCGCCGGTGTAGTAGCGCTTCAGCTCTGTGAAAAGGTCCTGGAAGATCTCCGAGTTCTGAATGTACAGTTTCCCATAGGTCTGTGTGAACATGCCATTCAAGGACTTCTCCGAGGTGTCCAGCAACTCCAGGAAAAACTCTACAGGGAGAAATAAAGAAGAATAGGTTAGGCACGTATATATTATTATTAATTTAAAAGTAAAGATGTTGTCCTATTTATATGAGTTATTTTCAGTATTGATAATTATTTATTATTTCTTTTTTATGATTAAGTTTGTCTCAAACAGTATTAAAGGTGTTACAGTCATTGAACATTTGGAGTTTGTTTTCTTTGAGTTAAAGCTCCCATCTGTAATTGGTCGCCCCACCTCTGTTGTATTCTCACAAGATAAATGAATAAATAAAATGGTATAGCTTTAACCTTGACAATATATACTATTAAGAAAAAAACATTAAAAATCTGTCCACCTACTCGTGGTCTATGCAGTCTATTTGTATGTGAGATTGGCCAGTATTGTAGTCTGAGCCAACTAATTATCGTTATTTAAAAATATAACTGAAACATCTTTCATCTTTTAACTTTCACTCACTAAATAAGATTTTTAAAAGATTAAAAAGTCAACAACACACTTTTCTATAATATTTCCATGCCTACTTGTAAACTAATAGCCGATAATGCTATGTATAGGAGCTAGCCAAAGGTACTTGATTATGTGACGAAAGCCAGTCGAAAGCATTAATAATTGAATAGTAGAAATAATGGGCCACATAGACTATGAATGATTAATGCAAAGTTTCTGATTGCACATTGTAACAAAATATTCATAAGTTTTAGACACAGACACAAGTGCAGAGCGCATTATCATCTGAAGCTGCATCTCCCATTAGATCCATAACTGTTTATTTGCCCAGAGCCTGAGATGGGCCTTAATTCAATATTAGGTTACAGACTAAGAGCTTTGAGTACTCAGAATACACAATATTCAGCTTTCAAATGCGCCTATTCTTTTAATAATATGGCAGCTTTGACTATAATGTTGTACTGTAATTTATATAATGACTTGGCAAAGGTTCTAAGATGTCCTTCTTACTGTTCGCTGCTTGAAATAAAGCTGCGCATTAGAGCTAAATTATCTTAATTGTGAAATGTGTTAAGTCAATATCCATAATGCAAGAAGCTAGAGATTGTCCAATATATTTTCTTTTTTTCATGGTTGATGCTGACAGAGATTGTTTAGAATCCAAAGCAGCTGATGGCAGACGAGCTTTACTGATATTTTTGAGCCAGTGTCTAGGGCAGGTTGTGGTAATTTCCCAAATTATCTCATTTTAATTTAGTACAGACTCATGCCTGACCTTCTTTAAATACAAACTGGGTAAGAGCTATGGCTGTTCAATTATGGAACAAATCATGATCACGGTTATTTTGGTCAATATTGAAATTACAATTATTCCAATGCTTATGTATTAGTTATTATTAGTTACACGATACATTTATTTAGCATTTCTCTCTCAAAAAAATGAAAATTCAATTAACTGGACAGCCTTAGTAAGAGCGTAGTTTTGTAGTCCCATCTTTGAACAAAAGTGTATGCATTTTTAGGCTTGTGATTAGACCAAACTAAATATTGGCCACTGCTAATCGATCTATCTCTATAAGAAACTAAATGTACCACAATATTGGAGCTCTAATCAATCAGAGATTGTATTACTATTATTACATTTTTCTATTAATATGTATTTTTTTATATTTTATTTCTTTTTCTTATTCTTGCCTTGTCTAAGATAAGATGAGATAAGCCTTTATTTGTCCCACAATGGGGAAATTACAGTGTTACAAAGTTCAAGTTCAAGAACAGCAAGAGAATAGGAAACATGTAATCACAATCAAGCTGAATACCTGTGCTCAAAATATACACACAATCTAATACAACACTGCTCCATTAGCATGAAGCAAGGCTACAGTACCAGATATTACATTTCCCCTTCATTTTACATGATGTGCGTAAATCACATCATAAAAAAAAATAAAAAAACATTTATTAGGTGATTCACAGCTTGCTACTTTACATGTTAAAAGCTTACTTTTTCAATTAAACAATGTGTTTAACATAAGCAAATGCAGTGGTATTTCTTTATTAGTGTCAAATGTCTTTCTTCCATTATTCTGATCTCTGGGGTGAGAACTAAACCAACAAAGAGAAAAGTGGAAAAGGCGTGTTATCTTGGGAGCGGCGCTGAAGCTTGGCTAATAGGATCCCATGTCTCCAGTTCACAAGCATAAATAGTGAGGATCCGCTCTGCATGCACTAAATGTCACCCCCTCTCCTCCATCTTTGTAAACAAGCACATTCAAATGGAGAGCTGCATATTAATAACGCATTCACTCACACTGTAGACTGGAATGATACTGGGGTTTGGTGACATTTCCTTGAATAGTTAGTGGCAGCAGAGGACCTACAGACACGCTGGTCACAGTCAGCTCCCACAATGCACCTCTCCTCAGTGCTAATCTGAAGCATGTGGTGTGAGTAATGTGCTCACACGCAGCCTGGTGTCTGCACAGCGGGCGCTCTGCTGTCACCAAGCCAGCAAAAAAGTGAATAAAAATACAAACAATATTATCTATTTGGCTTTTTCTGGTTGTGTGATCTGATAAGAATATGAAGAAACAGACTTACAAGTGATTAAAAATATTGCTGAAGCTGATTAATTAGTGGTTACTCGCACTGTAAAGGACCCTTTTAAAGGCCCCATATTGCGCTATTTTCTGATCTATGTGATGTTACGCAGTAATAGAGGAAGTGCTCCACTGTGTTTTTAAACTCCAAACATCTTCACTAGAATCATTTGGATAGTTTCAGCCCTGGAATTGCCAGTCTCTACGGAACAAAACATAAAATGTAGATGTTAACTTGAAAACTACCTCTTCATGAGATCACAAGGTGGAAGAGAGCATTTTGAGTTCTTGGGTTCTTTTTAAAGACAATGCAGTAAAGTGGATTTACCTTGTTGATTGTCTTTAAAAAGAACCCAAGAAGTTAAAGTATATAACTGCTCTTATCTTATATGCTCTTATCAAGGTAACAAATGACATCCGCCTGAACACTGATGCAGGCAAAGTCTCAGTCTTGATCCTGTTAGATCTGAGTGCTGCTTTTGACACTGTCGATCATGGGATCCTCTTACAGAGACTAGAGGACTGGGTGGGCATCTCTGGTACTGTACTAAACTGGTTCAAGTCCTATCTAGAAGACAGGAAGTATTTTGTTGAAATTGGAAACTGTGTCTCAGATGACATGGCCCTGACCTGTGGGGTGCCTCAGGGGTCAATCCTGGGCCTCCTGTTGTTCAATCTCTACATGCTGCCATTAGGCCAGTTAATAAGCAGCAATAACGTGTCGTACCACAATTATGCAGACGACACTCAGATCTACGTCTCTCTGGCAGCAGGAGACTATGGACCAGTGGACTCACTTGGTCACTGCATCCAACAGATCAGTGTGTGGATGCAAAACAACTTTCTCCAGCTAAACTCTGACAAGACTGAAGTCATAGTGTTTGGTCCACAGAAACAAAGGGACAGTGTCAGCAGTCACCTCCAGTCTCTCTTTCTAAAACCTTCAAATCAGGCAAGAAATCTAGGGGTAATAATGGACTCAGACTTGAACTTTAACAGTCACATAAAATCAATAACATCTGCCGCCTTTTACCATCTAAAAAACATAGCAAAAATCAAAGGTTTACTGTCTAAATCAGACTTGGAGAAACTTATCCATGCATTTGTCTCCAGTAGGTTAGACTACTGTAATGGTCTGCTCACTGGTCTCTCCAAACGAGCTGTGAGACGCTGCAGAACATCCAGAACGCTGCAGCTCGGGTCCTGACTCGAACTAGGAAGTACGAGCACATAAGTCCTGTGCTCAGGTCTCTGCACTGGCTTCCTGTGCCTCAGAGAATAGACTTTAAAGCAGCTCTGCTTGTACAAGTCTCTCCATGGCCGAGCACCAAAGTACATCTGTGACATGTTAGTGTCATATGAACCATCTCGCACTCTGAGGAGCTCAGGGACCGGCCTCCTGCTGGTGCCCAGAGTCAGAACTAAACAAGGGGAGTCAGCGTTTCAGGTTCATGCAGCTAAAACCTGGAACAGTCTTCCTGAACATGTGAGACAGACTCTTCTGTGACGCTGTTTAAATCCAGACTCAAAACATTTCTGTTTGACTGTGCATATAACTGAAAGGTTTTCATTCCGCACTCTTCTCTCCAATTTATGTCTCTCTTTTTTAATTTTAATCTTCATGATTATTTATGTTTTGATTTGTTTTTATTGTGATTTTAATGTATTTCTTATTCTGTAAAGCACTTTGAATTACTTTGTGTACGAATTGTGCTATACAAATAAACTTGCCTTGCCTTGCCTTGCCTATAAGAAGACAAAATGAACATCATTGGCTTAATAAGAGCATTTTGAGCTTTGGAGATGTAGACAGATTAATAATAAATGGTTACGCAAACATGTGTGAATGAAACAAACACAACAACATTATATATTGTGGCTTAAGAGTCCATTTCGAGTAATATAGGACCTTCAAAGGGACACTTTCCTCCAACAGCTTGTTTCTCTGGAGATCAATGGTTTGTTCACCATAGAGACAAGCAGTTCACATGCCAAGTTACTGACCAGATCGATGGAGAAGTGACTCTGCATGTTTTTCAAGGCATTTCCTTTGCAATAAAAACACACGCAACTGAATAAATTAATATAGATGACTTGGAACATCCCAGGCAAAGAAATATCATCTCCATGGAAACAGGCAGGAGCCAGATCCCCAACTAGAGATGTTACATAGTGCACCTTTATTATTAAAGAATAGTATTTTATTGTTATGAGAGTAATTTATTGCACTTTTTCAGGGGGCCCTGTGACAACAGATGAAAACAATGCCTCTTAACAAAATTTGGCATATTATATGTTTGGTCAAAATGCACTATTCGTAAAATAAATACATAGATTATAAGGTGAAACAAATTAAACAAATTCACAATTAACCCACATCAAGTATAACGCCGATAATAGTCTTCTTGAAACCAGTATTTAAACAGGCTTTAACACCAGGTACAAAAACAAACAAAAGT